CAAGTCATCATGGCACATCAGTTGAGAAGCATTGCACTATATTAATTACAAATACTTTGTTAAACTCAGAAATTTATCAATAATAAATTAACTAATAATTTTAATGCATGAAATCTAATAAAATATATTAGACAAACCTTAGTCAATAACTTTTCAAATTGGATGACAAAGATAAAATATACCTGTTATGAGAGTTTTTTTTCTGACTAATTCAATTATCATTCAAAAATAAATTTTGAACCTTAGATACTTACAAATGCTAATTTATCAGTAAAGTTATAAAAAATTATAACTTATAAAAATCATGTAAGTTATAATTTTTATTACGTACCTCAAAGCCTGTTACCGGTGTGAAATTAACATCAAAGAATGAAAAAACAGACCTCCACAAATGTTTTCGAACCCTTAACAGTTCTTCTTCAGGCAGCAATGAATTTCCATTAAAATGCCAATTGATAAGAACATCATTCACACTGGTAACAGGCTTTGAGGTATGTAATTAACTGTTGAAGAGTGTAGCTTTTTTATAATTTTTTAACTATTTATATGGTTTTTAGTGTCTAGATGTCCTAGCCTTAGTTATGATCAGTTCTGAATTAAACATTATGCTAATTAATCAAATTAAAACTGTATACGGTATAAAGACTGGCACATATTGGCTGCTAACATATATATTGCTCTAATGCTGCGAAATCTCCAAACACAACTTATAGAGCATGATAAACTATAAGCAGTGTAAGGGCTCCATTTGTTTGATGCTGCATTGAGTTTGCTACCTAGTTTAGCATTATATATTATAGCAGCCAATGTGTACCAGCCTTACTATTTATTTATGCTGTAGTTTTTATGATTTTCTTTAGTCAGTTTGAATTAAAGAATTAGCAATTAGATTACAGAATGTTGCATGCAAATTTATTAACTTAATGTCATCTAATTTAAATTCGAAAAAAAAAAACTGAAAAGTTAACTAAGATCAACAAGAACCAACCAACCAAGCATAACATATTGAAATATATATAAAACAGTATATACATATAGATTAAAGGCTGTTGTCTTCAACTGAGTCATCTAGTTCTTTGTATTTAAATTTATGTCAACCTATATATTAAAAGTAATAAAAGATAATGCATGTAATGCCTCATCTTTCATTACTTTTAATATATAGATTGACATATATTTGATCTGTCAAACTTATATTCCAGACTCACTCACTTACCCTAACGATAGAATTTCCTTAAGATATTTTTACATGAGAGAGAAAAGTTACTTCTTCAATATATACCAAACCAAACAAACTGTTCATACATATTAATGCAAATGACTTTAATAATTCCACATATCTATTAATAACTAATTAAATTAGTAGTTAAACTTGTACATCTTACACATTAGATAAAATTCTAAAGATTACTATGTGAAGATGTAATATGTGTTTATACAATATAAATACAGTGTTTGCTATTACCATTATGAATAATTACAACAATGTACCTGTATTATATAAACAGCTAATATAATTAGATTTTGAATTTTATATTCACTTATTTAAAAGATTTATATTTACACAACTCATTTTTCAAACTTCAGTAATTAGCAGAATTTTTCAGAGATGAGATCAAAATTATAACCTAAATGGCTTTTAATTTCAAGTACATTAACAATGCTATCAAATGTTTACATTAAATCAGAGTTTGAAATCATTAGCATCCCATACTACATTAACAATCAAAATTAAAAGCCATACAGCTCATAATTTTGAACTCTTCATAAAATTTGACTTATAAGTTTGAAAGACCGTTCTGTAAATTAAATCTTTTTAATATGAATTAAAAATTGAAAAGTCTGAAGATTTACATACATAATTCTCCATGAAATTCTACTTATAAATTTTACCAAAAGGGTAGTCAAGTTTACGAAACTCGTCTTTCAAATTTATAAGCAGAATTTCATGGATTAGTTCAAATAGAAGTCGAATGGCTTTAATTTTGGTTTTGTTAATAAATTATTCATTATGGTTATCAAACCAAGCTTTAATATTCCTCTGAGTTAACATAGTTATTTAATTGTTAAACGTTATTTAAACGTTAAAATAGAGAAAATTTGCTAAGCATCTTCCTATCTTAATTTGGCATCATCCTTATCAATATACTAAAAATACTTCACTTAAATCAGATATTTCGCAAATTTTAAACCTGAATTTTTACTTCCAAATAACTTTAATTCAGTACATTTTACTTATTAGAATCTTATTTACAACAGTCTAAATATAATTTTCTAGTAGAGTCTATTAGTAGATCATCCTCATTAGCAAGCATAGCAAATTCTTATAACATTTCTTCTAAATTTATCATAAAATATCGAGAAAATAAAGTAGTTAATACTTTAAACTAGCCGAAACTTATTTAAATAAATTCATGTTCAGAACGAAATATATTAAATTATAGTACCTTTTAAGGACGGTATCCAGTTAAAAAACGTAAAAACGCCATCACCTCCACCAATAACAACTTCCTCCTCCAAACGGGAATATTTGTAATTAATAACCAGACGATAAAATAATCGTAATTTAAAAATTGTAACTTTATAATAAAGTATTGTAATAATTTTAATCAGAAAATAATTACAAGAAATAAAAAATTAAAGTAAATATATAATTATTTAATATTTCATAAAATATATAATATATATTATGAAATGTTAAAAACACTTGTAAAATAATATTTTTGGAAATAAATTTTGAAAATGTGTCATTTATTATGATTTAAAAAATGTTAATCATCCTGATGAACTTTATGATGTCTCTATAAGGGAAACAACTGAAAGAGGAACACATCAATTGATATATCCGAGATAAATAACAGACCGGATCTTAGTAATTAATTCAGCATTAATCATTTCATTTGATGTATAAAATTTCAAAATATAATATTAGTTCACAAATTAAATCTTAATCTTATGAATTTAATCATTTTAAAAATTCTGTTAATAACTTACGTCATAGAACTTTTAATTTAGCATTCTTCTTATAATTCCAATCATTTTGAAAATTTTTCTATTCTCTATAAGAAGTTTATCTCACTTAAAATGAAACTATTCAAAAATTTCTTTTTATATTTATGATTTGATTTCAAATGACTTCCCTCTCTCCAAAGAGACACCCATGAGTCAGCCATCAGTTTGACGCAGTTTTGTCAACACTGATCCTTGCTGAGATCATTAGGATGTCCACTCTAGAGCTCCCTCCAAGCCTAAGATTGCCTAGTGGAATCTGCATTTTATTTATTATGTTAGATCTAGGTCAGTGTTGCGAAGGTTTAATTAATGGTATATTGTTTTATAGTCAAGAGTTACAGTTTTGTAAAATTCGTTATTTTTTGTTATATGTAAAAATACTATCATGATGTCTATATTAGTGGCGTGCCGTGACATTTGATGATAGGGAAGCTGTGTTTCTGTAAGAAGCCGACTTCCAGGGACAATCAGTTAATGCGCGTCAGTGATGGTCTATGGTCCATTCGTATTCGTTTGTTCGATAAACCAGTAAAAACAGTAGACTTCTCTAAATGTATTTTTAATATCACAATTACATTCTGAATCGCTAGCCACGATATAAGGGCTACAATTAAAAATAAAATAAAAATTTGGTGAAATAAAATGTGTGGTGGATGTATTGTGCAGTACCAGTACATACCTGATACAAAATATTCTTTAATTGTATGAATATACTTTTAAACAAAATTATAATTAAATATAGTTTTGTAAACTAAATGTACATAAAAATAACATAAAATATTCTTTACTTTTTAAATCTTAAAACAATTCACTTAGTCAAATAGCTCCCTTCGAGTGGCTAATGGATGGAATCAGAGACGGTCCTGGTAGGTGCATGCACGCGAGCTGCCAAATCCTGAGGGTGCCGATACTGATCAATGTCAAATGCCTCTTTTGTCGCATCACTAGTATACCTAAAAGGGCGCGACAGGATGGTTGTAAATTTTAAACATTTCTCACCATAGCTGTAAAAATCTAAATATGTTAAACTTAACAGATTGTCCGTCATTTGTTTTCTAATTCATTTTAGGACCAGGTGTCCACGGAAATTTCCAAAATTTACAACTTTTCGGTCACTCTCATTGAACTGGAAAAATTTCTGTCTTTATTATCCAATATTACGAAGAAATCAGTCCCCACTGTACTCGGCTAGAGTTGGTTCGGTTAAGCTTTTGTTTAAGTAAAATTCCGGCTCTTTCATCGGGGTTTTATTTATGTCCCCAATTCCCTAATCTCTTAATTATTTAACTACTTCTTAAATAGAAATAAGTTGAAACCGGTTACTTTGTACTTAAATATTTGTAGTCTTGGGAAAGTAGTGGAAAGATAAACTTTTATGACAACGGATACATAAATCGTAAATTTAAGGAAAATAAATTCTGGGTTAAGTTATAAATCTACTCGTGATTTACTCATTCATTCCGCCACTGATATTCGAATATATAATAGCAATCTTATCGTTTTTTTCGCTTGTACTAAAGAAATTTGTAATAAGATACATAATGCGGTTATAATAAAATATGAATTTTAATTAATTTAAAGTACTGTACGTTAAAATATGAAAATAATCGCGCAATATGTATTTATATTTTAGAAAATACAAGGGAAACGGCGCTTCCACTGCTTCCAAGGACGGCACGCCACTGGTCTATATTTTTTTTATAGTGAAGATTTATTGTGAGGTCTCATCTTCCTTCTTTAAGCGAAAGTATCGGCATTTCCGTAAAGGTTATGTAATAATACTGTACGAAACGTGTAGCAAAAGGCAAAAAAAAAGTTTCGGATATTTATTGATTTTTACTTTAGAATAAAAGACGAATCTATAAAAAATGTAAAAGTAGAAAAATATATATTTTATTTTTAAATATTTACATACATATAAAAGTAAAATTAAATTTTAATATATTCTATTATTATTATCATTGTATAGATATATTGAGGAGGAATTATTTAATATATAAATTTGACTTCATTTTAACATTTACTCGTTGTAAAACTGTAGAAATGACATCAAATTGACGTAGAAGTGGGCACTAAACCTATCTCAACTAAACGAACAGGTCTGTAATGTTCAGATACATGTAGGTCTGCACATATCATTGTTCCTTTTTTTATTCTTTCCGCTCTTTGAGCACTAAGAGAACCTTTTCTTCCTACCCAACGTAAATTCGGCCAAGCTCACAATGGAGCCGATCAGACAGTGAAGGAAGGGTCCGATACAATGATAGATCATCCCCGAAAAATTCCTTGGATTTTTCTTCCGCTTGGACTTGATCCGAGGTCACTCAGAGAAGATAGGCTGACTTCCCTTAACCGCCTCGATCATCTAGCCGTCCACCCCCACATATTAGCCTACTTTTAAAAAAAATATCAATAAAATTTTAATCTGATTTATTCAAAATTTATTATAAAATAAATACATACGTTATTAATATAGAAAAGTACGCGTTTCCTGCTTACAAATGTCATGAAAGATAGTTTCATTACTCCCATGGATAGTTTCTGAAATAATAAAATGGACTCTAAATTCAGTTGTTTTATCATTGTATACTATTTGTAGATCGTTGTGAAAACCGAATTTAAATCAAGAAAATATACTTGAATTAATTAATTTGATACTTTTAAATTATTTTAATATGATTATATCGAATATTATTCCAGTATCAGTATTTAAATTAATTTAATGCCTATGTAAATATCACAAAACTCTGATGTATTTATTCATTGACAGCTTTCTACTTTAAGCCTGAAAATCACGCATGAGTTATAATGAATATACAGTACATGCAAATAAGATTGTGTAATATTATGTGAAATGAGTCTAAAATCAAGTATCATTGCATGAAAATTACGAATTTAGAATTATATTACAAAATTGCATATTTCTTTATGGTTAGAAGAGACTGGAATCACTTCGATTAAATTTGCTACGATTCTACAAGTATACCACATTTAATAGTCACGTCAAGGAAAAAAAGCATTTATATTAAAAATTCTCAAATATAGTGTACTTATGTGTAAATATTATGAGATTTGAAGTTATGTGTAAAGCCACAAAGTATTATTTATATCCTTACCCGAAAAGTAATAAAATCATTACAGAAAACTCTGAAAATTGAAACCATTAACTCAAGAAACGTCTGCAAAGTGTAGGATATCAAAGGAAAACTCGTTTAAGAAAATATCTTTGATCAAAATTTCTTCTCCATCATCCGTCTTCTTAGAGATCGAACCCGAAACACTTAGCTTTCTGAGACTTCTTATACATTTCTAAAAACAAACCGTGTTTAATGTGAAAAAATTACTGTTTACTATATAATAAAATTTAACAAGAAGTAAAGCTTTAATGCACAAGAAATGCAATGAAATTTATAATAAAAGTTGTTGAGGCTTCCGCAAATGACCCATGTTCGAATTCAGATTGAGAATCCCAAAATTTTTCGTGACCATTTTTCGTCTGTCCTATTTTTCGTCATGATCCGGAAGCCCCAATATTTGGACAAACCCTGATGAGAATGATTAAATGGTCCTCTTAGTGCTTTAAAAACTAAAAAAAAAGGACCTGATCATCATCATAAAGTGAATAAAAATTCAACTGTGTTTAACTTTTTATTTTTTATTGGATTTTTTGCCGTTTACCCGTAAAATAAATGTAATTTTAATCAAGTGCTTTGCAATAAACTTTTTAATGTACCAAATTTTTTAAAAGAACGATAATCGCATACAGTAAAACTCCAATTATCCAGGCACTGATTATTTGGATTGCTTTTCGACTTTGTTAAAAATAAATAGGAATGGAAGTACTTTACATGCAAGAAAAGTATTTTTATTTTTATTTTTTCTAAACGTAGAAAATAAACTATATTCGTTTATAGGTATATGTCCACATTTAACATTTTATTTTCACATAATTATTCACACACGTGTTTAACGGGGTGTTTGGATAGAAAACAATAACTCTTTTAAGCAAAAATATAATTATTAGGATATTCCGCACATCCGGACAGCCTGAGTCCCAATTAATTCCGATAATTGGAGTTTTTACTGTATTTCATCTAAATCTAAAGATGTTATAGTTTCATGTAAACAGTGTATTTTGCAATACGAAAACAAATTTTTGAAATTCGAAAATTCAATAATTTCGAAGGATTTAGAAAATATAGAATAATATTTTTATGATTACACAAATTTATACAAATATTAAAAGTAATAAAAACAATACATTTGAAATTTCAAACAAGCATGACAAAACTTTGAAAAAAAGCCATTATAAAAATTATATTAAAATATAAAATAAAGGCAGATAAGATCTAATAAGCGTTAGGAAATTTAGATCAAAGTTTACATTTTATGGAATATTTATGCTCCAAGTGTATACAATACACACATACACATACACAGACACACACATACACACACATATATACTGTATAGAGAGAGAAAAATTAATCTTTAGATAGTTCATTATTTTACTTATAAAATTACGATGATATTGATTTATATAAGGCATATAAGGGACAACACACAATAAATCTTATCATATGTCATTACATAATAATTAATCAGTCGATTGATTAACACAATATCCATGAAACATCAGTTTTATTATTTGTTTACTGAATACACGTTGCTCAACAGTAGTGAAGTCAGATATATCTTAAAATACAGTAGTGCCCACCAGTGGCATCCGCAGACTAAAAAAAGGCGGGCACAAACTATAAAAAAGGGCATAGTAACTACAGTATAGTATATAATGTAATATTTTATATAGTGTACTATATATCAAAGGTATTTTTGTAACTGCTTGAGCGATTAATATTTTGAGGTTAAAACATACAGAAAAGGGGAAAATAAATCATTGAAATGATTCTAAAATTATGCTAGATATTTTGAATGATAGATTATTTTTCGTTGAAATGAATCCATCACTAGTATTTTATAGCATTATGCATCAGGAATCCGACAATTCGTCCACGCAAATCTGAAATTATGCTCTCTTATTGGTTTGTCGTCTTGTGCACAGAAATGTTCGTTAATTAATTAAGTTATCAAAAAATTAACAATTCTAACTTATCGAAATCATAATACAAATCTAATTTATCAAAGGTTTCAAATGTCCGTCAAACTTCGATACTGTGTCATCATAGTTTTCATTTTAATGACCTGCAGAACTAAATTAAAATATTATCTCCATTCTACGTCACAATATTGTGGCGTAGAATGTGTTGCAAAATTAGTTGGTGTGCAATATTGTGTGCAATCAGGTGTAATATTGTGACGTATAATAAATATCTATGTACAGATCTATTATATATATATATATTTATTAACCTAGAAGAGAGCATCAGTTCCAGACTAGAGTGGATAACCTCATTCCTATAACTGATACTATAAATAGGTTATGAATAATCATTATTTATACTCAATTGAACAACATTTATCAAGAAAGTATATGAATCATTCCTCAATTTATTATCGTTTTATCAAATTTTCTTTTCAAACCTTAAAACATTTTGTAAAATAAAATCAAAAGAGATAAGATATTCCCGAATAAAGAGTGATGTTAAAGATGCCCAGTGTCTACCTATGCATCCAGTTGTAAACTAAAAAATAATATCAAAACTTAAAAGTTTGTTTAATACTCAGATAATTATTGAAATTTATTTGAAACACAGCAAATAAAATAACTCGCATATGTTATTAAAGATCAAAAGCAGTTTATGTATAAATAACCATATCCTATTTATTATCGAACATGATTTTCTAACGTCCTCTTATTACTATTTATCTAAACAGGAACAAGAACGGATAAAAGAGCGTACGAAAGGTCATTGTTAGTTTACATTTAGATATCATTTTTTGAACTAAATAAACACATAAAACTTTTTATAGTTACGAACTACAAAATAATAAAAATTATCTAATGGCACGTTACGTTGAACCCACTTATCGCATGTAAGAACACAATAATTTTTTTTTTTTAGAAAATCGAATCTCGTCTTATCTAAAAAAGCAAAAATAATTGTTTTAGATCATTTTAGATGGTTACAAACTCCTATTTTTGACTCAAAGGTTTCCGCATCTCAAATTTTACCAAAATTTTACACTTCAACAAAATTTTTATTCGTTATTATTATTAAATTTACTTGTAAAAACATTTAAATTTGTTAGAAAAGGATGTATTTTATAATACTAAGAGTGTTCGTTCAATGGAAAGATCCAAACCCACGCTTCCAATACGTCGCCATCACGTGGCCTTCATTAAAGTATGAATGGGAAGTCTCTGGAGTTTCTAATGAAGTTAACGGAAGTTTCGTAATTAAAGTTACAAAACATTTCGCAACTATTTAATTTTCTTTACGACAATAAAATGAGAAAAATTTTATAGTTAAACAAACAATTTTTCTGTTTTGAACTTTTAAAATATTGGTTCATTTAACATTTAAACATTAAAAACTTATAAGTTATCATCATTAATTAATTAATGGAGTTAACAAGAACATCCACGTTTATTTCCACCTAATTTCTACGTAAGATGATCATTATACACTCCTAAATTTTGACTAAACTCCTGCACAATCATCAAATGATCGTTTCTGATATCATCATACCTGCAATTTACAATCATCATCATCATCATCATTTTTTCGTGTTTTGTTGTCAATATCAGAAATTTTATAAAACTTTTCTTTAAAAAAAATAATTCTAATTTCATCTTTCAGCTTAAACATCATTTTAAAACGAGATTTAATTTTAATTTTAAAAAAAGCGCTATTTAAAATAAAGTTTAAAGATTTTTTAGTATTAAAAATCAGATAACACAATGCATTTTTAGAGGAGAAAACACAACTTATTGTGTTCGAAATATCATTAGTATTTATTATTCCTAATTAATTTATCGATACAAAATTTAATCATTATCATCAAATGACTAAATTAATGCCACCTTGATATCTCCACAACTTGCATTATGTATACACTTGTTATAGCTTTACAATCGTAAATTTTTATGGATGAGTCATCGATGTTACATCGATATTTATGAATCATCAAATATTGTAATCATCTGAATATGAATTATGTAAATAATTCTTTACACAAACTGATAAATGATCCCAAATTTATAATAGTATTATATAAATATTTTAATTGTAATTACATTTTCCAACATTATGAATTGCTTAATAACTCGAAAATTAGAGAAAATTCTTAATAATTGAATCCCTCATCATTATGATTCATTCTAGAAAGGAAACACCAAGTAAAAACTACTTTAGTCACCCACATTAATTTACACAAGGATACATTTATTTTTTCTGTATTTTCCCTATTTTTAAAATTTAAACTGTATTCAAATTACACTGTAAATCATTCATATAATTAAAATTTAATTTAATTTTTGGTATATTTATTGTCATTATTATTATTATGTTTATGCAATTATGGTTTGCTTTTATGTAAGTCTTCCTTACAAATAAATATAATTTTCTCTCTGATGATCATCTTTTACATCTGTTATCTGAAAATTATGCTCTACAATAATCTAACGTTATGCAAGTGAAACAAAAGAAAAACTAAATGTAGACTGCAAAACTATCAAAATATTCTGTAAGCTAATTACTGTATATTATTTAGAATAATAAACTAAGACATAATTCTGTAACATAGTTTTATATGCTATAAAACTATGTTACAGAATTATGTTTTATATGCTATAAAACTATGTTACAGAATATTTTTGATAAAAGATTATGTAACTGTTGCAGTGATTCAAAAACTGAAGTAATGGAAAACCGATTTAATTGGAGAACTTCTTAGAAATTTCACTAAAACATTAATTTTGATATTTTGTTAATGATCAGATTGAAATACATTTTAAATACAGATCTAATTTAAATTTTTTANAAAGATTATGTAACTGTTGCAGTGATTCAAAAACTGAAGTAATGGAAAACCGATTTAATTGGAGAACTTCTTAGAAATTTCACTAAAACATTAATTTCGATATTTTGTTAATGATCAGATTGAAATACATTTTAAATACAGATCTAATTTAAATTTTTTAGAATAAAAATAGAAATTCTGTTCACATAATTTTGTTTTTAAATTTTTGTCAAAGAAAAAGCTACTTTAATACTTTATGAATACTTTCAAACACACTTAAAAACAGGCGAGTGAATTTTTTAGGATAAAAGTAACTTCAATTAAATGAAATTTGTTCTTTGAGCTGCTTTGGTTATTCTGTTAAGTGAATGTTTGAATAATAACAATACAACCTTTTTTCAAGTTTAATGTTCTTTCTGAATTTTATTAATTAGCAAATGGAATTTTACACACACTTTAATACTCTGCTGCCATATTGACAGCAGTGTGTCTAAATGTTATTTTTAAATTTAATTTCTGCTTCAAGCATGGATATATATATATATATATATACACCGCGTGATAAAAGTAACATATATTTATATGTTAATTTTTATCAATATATTGCTTTATATGTTTATATATTGCTATTACTGTATTGTGTTGTAATATAATATTGATTACTATTTAAATCTATTATATAAAAGTTTATAAATGTTTGGATAAATATGCAGTACATATTGATATTGTAAGTTATCTACATTATAAACATTTATATATTTTAACTTTCTATATAAAATATTTATAAACTTTCCGTTAATCAACCAATTTCCATTTATAGCTTTAATTACAACCACTTCTCAATCGATTACCACCACCACCACTACTGAACCTCCTACTACCACTGAACTTTCTACTACATCTACGGAATCTATTACATCTACTACTGAGCCTCCTGTAACAATAATTACTACAACTACTGAACTTAAGATGACAACCACTACCGAGCCTACAACAACAACGAAACCTATTACAACTACTGAATCTCCTACGACAACAACTGAACCCCCTACAAGTAGTAGTGTTCCTACAACAACAACAACTGAATTTCCCACAACTACTGAGGCTTCTACGACAACATCAGAACCTTCAACAAGTACTAAGCCTCCTATGACAACACCAGAACCTCCAACAACCACTGAGCCTCCTACTGCAACTACCGAACATCATACGACCACCACTACAGAGCCTCCTACGACCACCACTACAGAACCTCCTACAACTACTACTGAGTCTTTTACCACAATCACTAGTATTGAGCCTCTTACGACGACAACAACTGAATCTTCTATAACAACAACGACTACTATTGAGCCTCCCATTAATACAACTACAGAATTAACTACAACTACAACTACTACAGAACCACCCACAATTCTAACTACTACCGAAACGTCTACAACAACAACTACCGAAATTCCTACAAGCACTACTTCAAAACCTTCAACAAGCACAACTGAATTTGCAACTACTACCACTTCGACAGAAATTCCGACTAGTTCAACCACTCAAAAGCCTACCACAACTACAGAGGCACATACTACAACAAGCACTGTGCCACCCACAACTACCACTGAACCTCCAACAACAACAACAACTCCTGTTCCTACAACCACCTCGGTACCCACAACTACAACCGAAGGTAATTATTTTTATTTTACATTTCGAAACATTTTATAATTTAATTATTATATATCAAATTCATAATTTACAATCAATTAATTGTATTAAAAAAATCAATTATATTTTTTTAGAAGAAGGCACTTTGGGTCCATGTGAGTACGAATTATTTTATCCTCATTAATTAATTTTTAACCAGAAAAGAAATTAATATAAAACAATTTTGATCGATCTAAAAAATTATACACCTTTTCTTCTGTTAAGAATTAATGCAATATCTTACTTGTTAACAGTAGAGTGTGATTCTGTGATTCTTTGATGTTACTTAGTAAATATTATTTCATTTCAGGCGATTACGAATACACTCCTTACTCAGAAATGGACGTGTGTGCCGCTGTAAAGGACAAATGTGAACTGGCTCTACCCAGAACTTTTGATGAAAATCAGCATATCATTCACGCCATTATAGATGGACCAACACCTATTGCTGGGTGTTACTGGTTCGGATTCGAAACTGTGGACCTTCATAATGATCGTTTTAAACTTGGAGAAACTGGTAAAGAACTGGCAGGTACAGATTTACTTTTTCCAGAAGATTTTAAATACGTAAAATCGGGGTGTGTGGCTATTGGTACTAGCCCTTTTGTTTGGGATATTCCACCGGCATCAGTAACGTGTGGTCGTGTTTGTCAGAAATATATTGGTAATTGAATTTATATTATCTTACTATTGTTAACATATCACTTTCGATTCTGTAATTTTTTTTGNTATAATCTAAATTCCTTCTAGACTTGGCACGTGACAGAGCTCTTCCTGCACCATGGCAAGTTGTTCCAAATGTCTCTTGCATGCCCTTTTCTGTGCCAGTGAGAACATAGCTACAGGTTCCCATGGTACCTCCAATCAAAACAGGCTGACCAGTTAACTAAAAATTAAATAAAATTATTATAATAAATCTGCATTTTTTAATAAATTCTTCTTCTGTAATTGTAAAAAATTATGAACAGCATCTAGCAGTATTATCAGGAAAAAGATTTTAATAAATTATTGTTGTTGAAAAAGGTCTATAGCTACTATAGCATATAGCATAGCATTATAATAGATATAAGTTAATACAATATACAGGTATCCCTTGTACTGTACAACACTGCACTTCTACATGGCTTCGCTCTAATACAGTTCAAAAATTTGGGAAATCTTGCATACAAAGGCTAAGTGCAAATTCTGTTTGATATATTTTTTTTATTAAAGTAAGCATATGTGTTGTCTCAAATTGCCCATGAATTTCAGAATATTAAAATTTTCAATTTGTTTTGTGCCTTTTGTGAGGTTTACTTTAATGAAAACAGAGTACAAATTTTTCTTCCTTGTCCTAGCTTTCAACCAGGTATTATTGCTATTGCTTTCAGACTTTACCCTTAAGACTGTCACTGTGTTTTGTTTTTATAGACTAATCTTCACATTTAGTAAAGTTTATTTAAACATTTTTAAGTTAGTGCCATTAAACTGTTTTTTAACCACTGGTAAGTAATCATTCATAAAAATGATAAACAAAATACAGTGGTAACTCAGTATTTGAACTGTTTCCATCTCAAACAACTCTGTATTCAAACACAAATTCTGGAAAAAAAGAAAAATCACTTCATATAGCCCACTATATATCCCCGCACATTCTAATGATCTGTTTCGTTATAAATTGGCTGCATTTCGTGCCCTAGTTAGAAGGGCCTTTTTATACTGCGGCAATATTATGGACAGAGACAAAGAAATTGACAGAATTAAACGGATAGCAGAATCCTTAGACTACAGGAAAAACATAATTGCCAGCATTGTTAGAAACTTTGAGATAAAGGATACAAAGGTCTCTAAACAAAGACCTAATAAATACATAAAATTCACCTACAACAAAAATGTAAGAAGCGTTATGAAGGAGATTGCGGACATAAAAGAATCAATGGTGATTTTAAAACGAGCCCCGAATTTATTTAAAATTCTAAGAAACGATAAAGGGGATATTAAGAAAGAAGATAAAGCAGGAGTTTATAAAATCCCGTACGAGAACCAACAATTAGGATTAAAAAAGGAGTACATAGGAGTTACAACAAGGAAATTGGGGTTAAAGGTCAGAGAGCATAAATATGATGTTAGGAAAAAATGAAACGCAACTGTGCTGGCCCAGATGGCTCAAGCCCAAGATTCCGTAGTTGGATGGGAAGCTGAAATCATTAAGCAAATACACTATCCAACTTTAGCGAAGACAGCCGAAAAAATGGAAATATACAGAAGCAAACTTAATGATAGATGTATAAACGCCAGAGATGCAGAGGGCCCACCCTCAGCATGGAAGTTTGCTATTAAAAGACTTACAAATGGCTTATGAATGACGACTTGATTCGCAATTCACGTTATGAGAGCATTTATAATTTTTGTTAACTGTTAACGACTTGTACTATTACTTATTTATTGTTGTATGTTATTTATTTTTACAATTGGTATTTTTACACTTTACTTAATTACTTTAATTATTTTACTTAGTTACTCAGTTGTTGATATTTTTGAATTTTAAATTTAATGTTCTATTCTTTGTGGTTATTCCATATTCGTTTTTTTCAACTTGAAGATGATCTATGAAGTAGATCAAAAACGTTCATTTTTTAAATAAACTCCCTCGGCAACGGATTAGGTGTTGATTATTTTGATTATTAATTTGCCAAGTGCGTTTTCTGTTCAATGCATAATACAGTACTTTTAATTGTGATTGTTAATTAATTATTAATGATAGGAAATAAATTGTTGATTGCTTTAATAAACATATATCTCTTAGTAACAAAAAAAATATAGTATATTTTTGCTAACTTCTGGAACATAACTCTATGTTTTGCATTAGTCCTTTGTTTCATGTAGCATAGATTTGCATAACACAGTACTTTTTCAGAACATAACTACTGTGTTACACAAGAAATACCTGTAACTGTAAAACTGAATATCTCGTCATATATTCTTCAACAAAGAATTTTAATTGTAAAAAATTTCATTACAATGTTTTCTTTCTGTATTTGACTAATTGTATGAAAGAAAATTAAATAGATTGTTGTATGTGTAGCAAAGAAACTTAAAATTATATGATATAGTTCAAAAGCAAATATGATAAAATAATTCTATAATATTATATTTTCAAATTTAAATGTTTAAGTAAACAACTTATAACAAATTAATCATCACAATTAATAAAAAACATTCAATTAAATTCAAAAAAGAAAATATTTTATTAAGATTGCAATGAGCATTAATGAGAAAACAATTATTGAGAAAGAATTAACAATTAAACTATCCTTTTTATCCTTTGATAACAGCTATAGGTCTTAACTTAATACATTTTTTACTTATTCCAGCTTCATGACATGTATTGACTACATCAGTAACATTTTTATAAGATTCTGGTGCCTCTTCCATGACCAACTTGGGTGATGCCACCCTGATTGAAATCCCCATATCTGCCAACTTGTTCAATACATCAGTATAATCTAAATTCCTTCTAGACTTGGCACGTGACAGAGCTCTTCCTGCACCATGGCAAGTTGTTCCAAATGTCTCTTGCATGCCCTTTTCTGTGCCAGTGAGAACATAGCTACAGGTTCCCATGGTACCTCCAATCAAAACAGGCTGACCAGTTAACTAAAAATTAAATAAAATTATTATAATAAATCTGCATTTTTTAATAAATTCTTCTTCTGTAATTGTAAAAAATTATGAACAGCAATCTAGCAGTATTATCAGGAAAAAAAATGCTTCAAATTGTAGAAATGATAAAGCTTATGGTGACAAAGCTTTGAAGTTTAAACAATTTCAAGTCTGATCTTGCTTCATATTCCAATTCAATGGAATATAAGGCAAGGTTAGGCTGACCCACAATGTCAATAACTGAAAGAAATGTATTCAGTTATTAACATTGATAGATTATATTGTCTTCAATTCAATATTTTATTCAAATATTCATAGATTATCCATTAAAGATAGTGCCTCACATGTTGGAATTTCTTATAATAGTTGCTATCAGAAGGAAGAGATCCAACTCATGGAAAGAAAACAATTGGAAATTATTCCATACAAATGCCCAACACATTAGGCTACAATGGTAACTGAATTCCATACCAAGCATTCAATAACTGTATCAAGACCTCATTCATACTTACCATACCTTGCTTCTTGTAATTTTTTATTTATTTTTTCAAGGCTTAAAACCATTTTGAAAGGAAACAACTTTTCAAATGCAGAAGAGAAAAATGGGGTTTTGAATCTAATTTTTGAAAATTATACAACTGTTGGAAAAAATGTGTAAATAGCTAAGACCAGTATTTTGAAATACTGGACATGTAATTATATGTTAGTGTTTTTTTAAATAAAATATCAGCCCTGAAATTTTTTGATCCTATTTTATAAGAGAAATAAATAAATCATTAAATATAAAATTCTGAAATAATAGCAAATGGTTTTACAAAATTTATTCAAAATGTTGTAAACAATTTTGAAGAGAATCTTTGCTAATTTAAAGTTTAATAATAATAATAATAGTTTATTAGAAAGATGATAAAAATAATAGAAACTAATTACAGACCTGATAATCTACAGGAATCAAAGGATGATGAGGTGGAAAAGCTCTAGTTGAACCTTTTCTATGCATCAGTAAAGTTTTCTCTTGTCCATTGACAATATGCTGTTCTATCTTTGCAATATTATGAGATACGTCATATATTACATGCATATCTAAATCATCTGGTGTCGTGTTATAAGCTTTGGCAAAGGCCTACAATACAAATTTAATATTTACATTTTGCTGAAGAATATTTTAAATTTCAGCTTGAAAAAAATATGTATATAACCTGTCTACTAAGAAAAGTCATGCTGCTTCGATTAACCCAGGCAAAATTTGCTGCTGCAGCCATTGATTTAAGGTAGTCTTGTCCTTCTTGAGAAGAAATGTGTGCACATGCAAGCTGACGATCATTCACTTCAATTTTATCTCTCTTCATTGCTTTCTCCATTGCAACTAAGGCATCTATTACAATAATTAATTAATTAATTAATTATAATGATAGGAAATAAATTGTTGATTGCTTTAATAAACATATATCTCTTAGTAATGAAAAAGAATAGTATACTTTTACTAACTTCTGGAACATAACTCTATGTTTTGCATTAGTCCTTTGTTTCATGTAGCATAGATTTGCATAACACAGTACTTTTTCAGAACATAACTACTGTGTTACACAAGAAATACCTGTAACTGTAAAACTGAATATCTCGTCATATATTCTTCAACAAAGAATTTTAATTGTAAAAAATTTCATTACAATGTTTTCTTTCTGTATTTGACTAATTGTATGAAAGAAAATTAAATAGATTGTTGTATGTGTAGCAAAGAAACTTAAAATTATATGATATAGTTCAAAAGCAAATATGATAAAATAATTCTATAATATTATATTTTCAAATTTAAATGTTTAAGTAAACAACTTATAACAAATTAATCATCACAATTAATAAAAAATATTCAATTAAATTCAAAAAAGAAAATATTTTNAAATAGAAAAAACAACCAGAAATTTGAGGATGACAGTAAGAAATATACAGATAACTAGAATAACTTAAGAATGGAAGATAAAATTATACATGTTATAAAAAATAATAAAATTATCAAAGAGTAAGTAATA